TCGGTTCATCTTATATTTTTACAAAGGAGAGATGGAGCCGGACACGGTGGCTCATGCCTGTAATCCTATCACTTTGGGAGGTAGAGGTGAGAGGATTGCTTGAAATCAGCCTGGGCAACTTGACGAGATCTTGTCTCTACAATAAATTTTAAAAAATTAGCCGGGTGTGGTGGCTTGTGCCTGTAGTTCCAGCTACTTGGAAGGCTGAGGTGGAAGGATCATTTGAGCCCAGCAAGTCGAGGCTGTGGTGGCTGTGATTGTGCCACTGCACTCCAGCCTGGGTGACAGAGTGAGACTCAGACTCAAAACAAAAACAAAAACAAAAACAAACAAAAAAACGAGAAATGGGAAGATTTAGGGGATTTTGTATATATGACTGAATATTGCTGCCAGGGAAGCTGTAAAATAGGTTTGTTTTTAAAATGTATAGTCTCTAAAAGAGTGAGAGAAAGAGGGCACTGAATGGTTTGAGGTAGCCAGCATCTTTTACAGTTAGGGCTTGGAGAAAAAACTGGGATTCACCAATCAAATCAAGACGACTTTGGATCAGAAGATAAATAGGTAAAGTAGTCAGTACTTTGCCAAATCCATTCCAGCGGTGGGTGATTGTGGCTTTATCCAGTATTCAGGGGCAGAATTACAACTCTGTTCCATACACAGCGCCTGAGGTGCAAGCTGTGATATTTAGTGACACAGTGATGGTGGCTTCACTAGCCCAGTTCTATGGCATGGATTTCAGAGTTGTTCCCAATTGTACAGTTTATATGCTAGGGTCTACTGCCCTCCCCAAGGGCCCATTAGCTACTCAGCACACTTCCAGGAAATTCCTTTCTGCTGAAATCAACCATAGTCGACTTTCTGTTGGCTCTTCTCTCCAAACATATCATTCTCAACCCTGCTTCCATATCATTCTCATGCCCATTATCACTTTATTATTATTTATTTATTTATTTTAGAAAGCAGGATTTGAGAGGACAAAAAAGCTCCCACAGTGGGAGGGGGCCTGAAGAGGTTGCCCCTTTATCACTTTTTAAAACATGTGGCATTTAATCTAATTCCATCAGAAACTGAAACCCATTAAAAAATCCTTATGATAGTTTCCTCTCTTTTTTTTTTTTTTGAGTTGGAGTCTCACTCTGTCACCCAGGCTGGAGTGCAGTGGCCGCTCCCGGCCACCGCAGCCTCGACCTGCTGGGCTTCGGCGATCCTTCCGCCTCAGCCTTCCAAGTAGCTGGAACTACAGGCACGC